TAGTAAGTACATATTATTTCTAGCAATAAATATATATATATATATATATATATATATATATATATATACATATATATATTGTTTAAAAGACATGAACTTTTATTATAAAATAAGGCTGTGATTCAATAAATCATGTAATATGTCCTTACTTTAATCCAATTTATATTATTTGTTGAAAAATATACTTTTGTTCATTGTTACTGCCCTTTTGATCTACTTATCCAGTTTCCAATAGGAAATGACTTTTTATATATTGAGTAGCTCAAATAAGTAACACAGTGGATGCATGCAATAAATTGAATTTTTAAATTTCTAGAAACACAAACAAACCAAAGGATTGCCTTTAGATTGAGTCCAACTATGGAGACAGACTTGAAGTAGCCAGTTAAAGCCTTAGCAATTTCTAGTCAGCATTTAGTTAATCCACAGCACTGAACTTTCGTAGTTTAATTAATAAGCAAGACAATCTAATCCTTGCTCCGTATCATTTTCCCTCTTTAGTCAATCCACAAACTTCCCACAGATGAACAAAATCTAGGAGCAGAGGAAACGACCCGGGAAACTTCAAATGATCAGTAACACCCTGTGTTGCTAAGCACATGTACCCTGTCATATGTCCTTACTACTGACAGTATTTAGTGTAACTCATTCATCTTTGAGGATAATGCATTTGGCTATCACAAATCTAAAGCCACAGTAAGATAAGAAAGTGTTGGTGAGCTGCATGAAGAAAGTTTCAATGCCTGGAGGAAAAAAAAAAGTGGAGGAAATCATGTCAGAATCCTGTGACAGTAGACCAAGGCAGAGACATTCCTGTCACTATGTTTGCTTTGGAGTCCTGTATTACATGTCCTGGAACCCTAATGATTCAGCTAGCTGCTCATATCAAGGGGAAACCACAAATTCATTCATAAAGTGCTAATAATTCTTCCAGGCAGCAGAGTCTGAAACTTCTCTACAAATAACATTAATAAAGTCACAGCTCCTTGTGACCTAACATGCTCTGGCAAGATGACAACTGGGTTACAGAAGTAAGCTTGAGAAGTCAACGGAGTACCGCAGGGCTCAGTTCGAAGTGGGAAGGTGCTTGGATGTCAACCGAAGAGAACAATGAGACCAAAGCCTTAGAGGAATCTGTAACAGTGGATGATGACACAGCAGCAAACCAAGGCCTTTCAGCTTTACTCTCAACAAGTTTTCTTCTAAAAGCACTTGCCAAGCGCCAGACCCCCAGTGCACCCATTATATCTAATGTCTTCTTGCTTTCTACAAAACAGCCACTGCAGTGAGACAGTTTACCTTCTGCTTTATTTAACATGAGCCAATTTCACTTATTTTTATTTCCATGTGGGGTGAAGGGTGGTGGGACATACACACAGAGGTTAGCGTTGTGAAGTCGTTTTCTCCTTCCCCCTTTATATGGGGCCCAAGGATTCAATTCAGGTCTTCTGGCTTGCATGGCAAGTTCTCCCCCTATTCCCATGCCCAACCCATTGCTTCTACAAGTTTATACCTCACCAACTTTCATCTTCCCAAACTCTCTCATCCAAGGATCTTTATTTTTTATTTTTAAAAATCTAGTTTTATGTGTGTAGGTGTTTGGCCTGCATGTCCGTCTGTCTACGCACATGTGTGCAGCACCCATGGAAGCCAGATGGCATCAGATCCCCTGGGACTAGAGTTACGCAAGGTTGTAAGCTACCATGTGGGTGCTGGGAATTGATCCAAGGTCCTCTGGAAGAATTGCCAGTGTTGTTAACTGCTGAACCATCTCTCCAACACAAGATCTTTTTCTTTATAGCCTTGATTCTGATTTCTCTAACTTCTCCCATGGTTTTGTCCATCAATATCCATCTCATCTCTCCTTCAGTATCCTTCTCATCATCTCTCCATCGGTATCCTCATCATCTCTCCATCAGTATCCTTCCTGAACTCCTGTCCACTGGTAGCTCCTGATCTTGCCCCCAGAGAGTCTGTTGACCAAGTGCTTCACAGAGCCATTGTCCCTTTCCTTCCTCACTCTTCAAACAGAGACTCTCTCCACATTGCTCAGATACAAAATTCCTAACCCATCTTCTATGCTCTGTGTAACTGAAACTTCCCCCAGTCACCCAGGACCACTCATGCCAAACACAACAGGGCTTTCTTGTTCTTTAGGGATTTTCTTAATATGTCTATAGCATTTTACATCATCCACTCCTGCAGTTTTTCTTAACCTCATACTTCATACATTTAATACAAGCCTCAATATCCCCCTCTCTCCCAACAAGGTTTGTATATTCTGCCCTTTAATTGTATTAATGTCCTAGGGTTTACTAGAACATTTTGTCATCGCCACCCCCATCTCCTAACATTTGGCAAATTGTCACATCCTATGAAGCTGACCTCCACAAATTATCTGGGACCCATTCTGCTGTCTCCAAATTCAGTCAACCACTCTTGTGGTCCTTTTCCACAGGACTACTGCAACAGTTCCTCCCAGGTCTTACATTTCAGTGTCCTCCTGTCTGTCTTGTACAGACTTAATTCAGAGTCCATGTCCACTTGGTTCTGCACACAAGAGAATTCATAGTATGATGCCATATATGCATATTCCTTCAAGACCAGTCATGGAGGCTGAGCCTGCCTGTGTCCTGCTTAGCTCACTCCTCCCCTCACAGCACTCCCACCTACAAGACTGGAATTCAAAGCCCTGAAAACAATCTCATTCCTGTGGAACCTTCCCCCAAACTCTCCAGCTAAAAAAACTATGCCCCTGCCTGCTTGTCCTTTGGCTGTCTCTAGGAATGTGTCAACTGTGCTTCTATGACACCCACAGGCCCCACAGCCATCAGGGGATAAGCTCTGAAGGTGTAGCCCAAAAGACAAGGCAACTCTGTTTTACCAACCAACAGGATGTATGCTAAAATCTACTTTACCTAAAGAATGTATCCTAATAACTACTGCACTGCTAGTGGGCCACAACAGGGGTTTGTTTCTCCACCAAACTGTACACAATGGTGATCTGTGACGGTATCCTAGAAACTATTCACTGAAGTTTGACTTTCTAAAAGCAATTAACCATTGTATCCCTATCTCTTGAAGACTCATATTGAGTGGGTTTTAAGTGTGTGTTGCATTAAAACTAACTAACTAACTAACTACATAAATAAATAAACAAACAAATAAATAAATGGTTCAAAAACAAACAGCACAGGAAAAATCCATCTAGTTTTTTCATGTGTTCAAAAATTGACCGGGAAGCTGCTTATTGGTTGGCTTTAAAGCCAGTGGTTGAAGGACACAATGGCACTGACTTTCAAGCTAAGTCAGTGGGTAAGAAGATGGGAAGTGGAATTTTCAACCAACAATGTCTAGACTCATGTTTAGTACCGTAGCTGTTGTAGCGTATGTGTATAGTGTTACAAATTGCCATTAAGTCAGTTTATAGAAAACTGAAGCATAGAATCTCCATCTTGACCTGCTGTCCAGATCAAGACACTGCTGTGAGATGATCTAGTACCACATCCCTCATTTCATTACTGAAATTTCTCAGATTTCCTCTTTAAAATGCCTTAGTACAAATGTGCTTTATTTTCTCCTTCTCAGATAGTCATGGACAGATTGATCCCTCACTGAGACCCCTCTGGGACCTGGCTTTTCTCGGCAGCTCCTATGTGATGTGGGAAAAGACAACACAGTTTCTGAACTACTACTTGATCCAGATCAGTAGCGTGAAGCAGTTGGTAAGAAGCTGAAAATTAGCTGGATCAGCGGAGTCCCAGTGGACACGGTGCTCCTGCCTTACCTTCATGGCAAGGGTTTTAATTAAATTTCATTCATTCAGCAAATATTTGAGCTACTGCAATGGCTCGGGTATTGTTTTAGGGATTGAAGAGGGAGCAGTAAACAAAACCACATTTGTTGACTTCAGTGAGACCCAGTTCTGGAAAGAAGCTAATAAACCAACGAATATGGGTCCAACAGTGGTGGGAAGTGCTACAGAGTTAAAAAGGAAGTGGGGAGGAGGAAACACAGGACCCTGATAGACAAAGTGAGGCTACTCAAAGTGAGGCTACTAGAAGTAGAGTGACATGGGGCAGAGGCCAAAAGGCCCTAAGAGCAACAGAAGGGGAGTTTAGACAGGACACTGCAGCAGCAGTTTGTTGCTCTTAGCAGGGGGAAGTTGGCAAATAGCACTGTTAGCCAGGGTGGAATTCTTCTCAAGTAAATGTGATGTAGGGAGAGCGGGGTTTTCAGAGTAAAAGCTGAGCCTAGTGTACATTAGTACTTACACTAATGAGACACATGTTCACAATTTACCCATGGGTGGATCATCAGTACCTTCTGTGGAACTTGCCAAACAGTCATTATTTTTGTTTTATTTTGTTTGTTTTTTTTTGTTTTGTTTTTTTTTTTTTTTTTTTTGACACAGGGTTTCTCTGTAGCTTTGAAGCCTGTCCTGGAACTCACTCTATAGACCAGGCTGGCCTTGAACTCACTGAGATTTGCCTGCCTTTGCCTCCCAAGTGTTGGGATTAAAGGCATGTGCCACCACCACCCACACAGTCAGTTTTTTTTTAATGCCAATAATAATTTGCTTTCCAAAGATCATTGAAAAAAAGACATCAAATAGAACCGAGGGTTTTTTTTTTCTCCACTGATCTTCTATAGAGTGGTTTTTTTTTTTTTTTTTTAAAAAAAATCCTAAAATTGATTGCTGCTTGGTAACCAGTCAGAGTATGGCCCCACTTGTTTTGCTATGTGTCCTTCACTCCTTCTAACAGAGCAATGGAGACAGGAAGTGTTGAAGGGCTTCTCACTTCCAAAAGCCTTCTGGGTGGGAATTATTATCTGAATACTCAAAGTTAAACTTACCTGCTAATGTGAGAGTATAAGGAGATGCAAACATATAAACTCACAGTCCCACATGAACAAGGCCCAACAGAGGAGTGAACAAAGAAAGGAAGGGCTGAAATAGAGTCATCATCCAGCCATAATTATTTCTTTAAAACTGAAGGACAAATGGCATTCCCAATACTATACACTATGCCAAGGACAGGGGAATATATCAGCTAAGAAAAAAATGGGAATAAAGACTTTCAATGTGCCCCCAGGCTTTAATATGAATTGACAAAAGTAAAACTACATATTATTCCAATCCCAATCCACCAGTGCTAAATCGTGTAGCCACTCTCATAAAATATGTACCTATTAGACCACCACTGCTATTATTCAGTTCCAGACTTTACCCCAGTTTAAGGTCTTCACTAGCCCAAGATACATTACAGAAATGACCTCACCAGCCATATCTATTCTTTTCGATCACTTATAATAATAGCATAAGCCTATTTACTTTACTAATACCACATTGGTTCTATTAGGGCTTAGTGTCTCCCTTTAGGAGATGGCGGGTTACAAAAAAAAATGGGGTTAAACAAGGTTTCCTTCCCTATGGTTTCCAGGAAGATTAAAGTTCTAAGTTATAAAAATAAAAATAATAATAATAAATCACCATCCATCTGGTATATAAGTGCTTGGCATTTATGATGATTTGAACAGATGCCAAAGAGGTTATTTCTGAATGATACTAAAAACAATGACTTCTTGGCAGGACTTGACTTGGTGAGGGCAGACTGTGAGGTGTACTGTTTACCTCTGCAGCTCTGTAACAGGCTGTGCTTTGGGTTTGGTTTCAAAGGTCTGTTTCCTGAAGGAAGCATGGGGGGGGGGGTTATAATTCAACCTACACATTTAACATGGGTAATACCTTTCTTTTTGTCACTGCTGAGGAATGCTTCACACATGAGAGGCAGGCGCTCTACCATTGAACTACATAGAGTCTAAGCCCTACTCTGTGGTTTGAGCAAAACAGTTTATTGAATGAAACTGGTGTTCTACTGTTTATGTAAAGCTCAGCCCCCCTTTTACCTAAAACTTGAAAACTACCATAATTTCATTCAAAAATGCTGCTTTGAAAGCCAGGCATGGTAGCTCTTGCTTGTAATCTCAGCACTTAGGAGGTGGAAGGTTAGGTGTTCAAGACCTGCCTCAGCTACACAGTTCCAGGCTAGTGTGGGCTACAGAAGACTCTATCTCAAAAATATACACACTAAAACTATGCTATTTCCAAAAGCAGAATAAAAAAGCACTGCCTTGAAAGGATGTCTGTAAGTAAAATCAATCTAAAAAATTTAAGACTACATTGTAAAGCCAGGCCTCAAGAAACAGTACGGGGGCAACAAAGTCCAAGACAGTCAACAGGGGTTCACTGATGAGCAACAATTTGGGAAAGGTCGGCATTTCCTTGCAAGGTAAAGACACCAAAATGAGGGCCAGGGTAAGGCCAAATGCACACCTCCAAATGAATACCAGATTGGCAGAGTTGTCCCCTTGGATCTGTGGGGGACTGGCTCAAACCTCACACCACAGTGTTTGTTTTTAAGTCCCACACATTCTCCCACATACGTTATCTCTAGGTTGCCTGTGTACAAAGTAAAGGCTATATTAACTATTGTTAAAGTCTGTTTTGTTTAGGGAATAGCAATGATAACATTACCACACATTGTATTTTCTATTAATAGTTGGTTGCACACATGGGTAACAGAGCCTACAGATCAGATGGGAAACTGATAGGAAGTGCAGGCTTCCTGGTGAATTCTAATTTTGTGGCTTGTGCCTTGGATGTTTGAACACTCCTTCGAGTACTGCCAAACTGGAGAGAAACCTACCCAATAACGCAAGAAAGTCACCATACAAGATCAGTCTGTTTCTGGTTCCTCTGCCCCTCGTGCATTGTCTACATCCCCGCCCTCACCTTCTGCCCATGTGAAAATCTCCATCCACCTGAGAAAAGCAAAGACAAAGCCTAAAGCCAAGTTCCTTTTCAGTGTCCCCTGCCCATCCATGCTTACATATTCTTTAGTAGTTTCACTAAAAACTGGTAGACTAAAGTTATACTCCAAACACTAAAGGTTTTAAAATCAATCCTATTTTTATTATTAAAGGGAAAAGTTACCTTGGTGGCACACGCCTTTAATCCTAGCACTCGGGAGGCAGAGGCAGAGGCAGGTAGATCTCTGTGAGTTTGAGGCCAGCCTGGTCTAAGGAGTGAGGTCCAGGACAGGCTCCAAAACAATACAGAGAAGCCTTGTCGAGAGAGAGAGAGAGAGAGAGAGAGAGAGAGAGAGAGAGAGAGAGAGAGAGAGAGAGAGAGTTTCTATTTTGATATATAAAAATAAGAAATATAAAAAAGGAACTAGAAAATTGACTTACTAAAATTTGTAGTAAAGGGTGTGAGGATGAATGCTCGCCCACCAGAACATACCTAACACATTGGTTTTGACATAATGGTTATTGACATTGTGTGAGCACGTTAATGCAGCATTATGAAGGGTGTGGAGGCTGGGGTCAAACCTCAGTTTTAATCCTGTAAGACAGGAGAATCACATGAGAACCTGTATCCACTGCTGGGAGTAACATCTGGCCCATGATAGGCACTGGAGAAATGTTGTGTGTTTCTCTTGTCTGTTAGAGGGGAGCAGGGCGAACATGTCAGAAGCACACATACATCACTGATGTTGCTAGAAGATTCTCCTTATCCTCACAGACTTCAGCCTTCAACAAATACCAGAAATGCCAGACAAGAAAAGCATTTTTTTTTTTTTTTTTTTTTTTTTTTTTTTTTTTTTTTTTTTTCTTGTAGACCAGGCTGGTCTCGAACTTACAGAGATCCATCTGCCTCTGCCTCCCGAGTGCTGGGTTTAAAGGCGTGCACCACCAACACCCGGCGATTAGACAGGAAAAGCCATAAGGACATTCAACCAGAGTTCTGTAGAACTGGTTGACAAAACCTAAACCGCATCCATGACTTCTCGAGCTTGACCTGGAACTTACGGAACACTGCCCTGGTGTTTCAGCAGAAGTTAAGTCACCACCTACAGAAACACAGGACACAGCCTAGCAAATCCTGAGCTTACAAAACCCCTGGTGTCTGTTATGCTAACTCTGTTTTCCCTCCTCTAGAAAACTAATGATGATGGCATTGACTTTGATTTCACTGTTCTACTTCATGAATTTTCAACACAGGTAAAAAAGCAACATTGTGTCCAACTGTTTTTATTTCAAGTTTTTCAAGCTATAATCTTTAGGCTTTTATTTCCTAGGAAATCATTCCCTGTAGGATCCACTTGTTCTGGTACCCTGGCAAACCATTAAAAGTACAGTACCACTGTCAAGAGCTGCAGAGCCCAGAAGAAGCCTCCGGAACTGATGAAGCGTCAGCCATGGCACCAACAGAGCTCAGTAATTTCTAAAGAGAAAAAGACTTGCTTCTACTGTACTCCAAACAAGACGACTCCACTGGCTTACTTCATCACTGCTGTATAAAAGCAAAGGTCCGGGCATCCTAGCACTGAGGCAGCCCTGTGGTTACAGGCAAATGTGTCCCACCTGATTGGCCTTGGTGTTTAACTCTGAGAGTAGGTGCCTGTCTATCTTCTCAGAGCTTATAGTCAGAGCAAATCGCTGAGGGTTGGGCAGGTGGATGAACAATTGCTTTGGGGGAAAGGTTTCATCTCTGAATTTGTGTTTTTCATCATTTTGGACATGAGCTATTTTATGTTGCTAAATCATTCCTAATTATGTCAACAACAAGCATTTTTTTTTTCAATGAAAGCAAATTGCATGGGAATATTAACTGCTAATTTCAGGCAAGCATTCCCTTTTAACTTTCAAATAAAAGTTTGTATTTCTAAATAATAAAGTGTGTTTGCAAGCTTCTGTATGCACTGAAAAAATTAGGCTAACCTAGAACTATGTCGACTCCCAATACTGCCTGATTCGAATCTTATAAACAGCACACAGGGTCTCACATGAGAAAGCTGCAAACACAGTTAACGAAACACTGATCTAACTCAGAGTACACCAGATATGTAATTTTTATGTATCAGGCCAATTCGGATCCAGTGTTGGTGTAAGTAATCTATAATGGCAAACATAATCTGTAATAATCAAATTCAGTGAAGTACCTCCTCAAGGCAGGAAGAACTAATCCAGGAAATGTTGCCATCAGCTGCCTCTCACAATTATTAAAATTTAATGGAACCCTTATGTCAGGTTCCATTAAACCCTTGAGCCAGGTTCCTTGGCCAGTAACTGATTAGGGGGCATCAGCTTCCCAGTAAAAAAGGACGCTGAAGCACCCTCATGATGGGTGAGGTTGTCTGCAGTGCTGGAAATCCACAGCTGTGTCCTGCTTCCACTGTCCCAGACTTCCAGGATCTCATACGGTCTATTCCTAGCTAAGACCAAAATTGTCCATATGGTTTTCCAGAAAGAATGTCATTTTCGAATCAGTGTCAAGTCAACTACTAAAAATGGAGTGTATTACTTGGTCTGTACTATTAAATAATGGGAAGTATACATTTCAGAGAAAAGTTTTAGACAGGGATGCTTAACAAGATAGCCAGAAGCAGATCTAATTGTGTATTCTTTTTTCTATTTAAAACCCCAAATATTTGTCTCCCATATATCCACTCCTTTTAAAGTCCTAAACTCTGCATGATCTTTTAAGGGAAACAGGAGCTTTCCCACCTATGTAATAACGAAGACAAAGAACTTTTTCAAAACACCCCAGAAGCAAGATGTAATGATTACATGGAGCCAAAATCAAGCAAACAGATAAAAAGTTTTCTAACTGAAGTTCCCTAAACAATCTTTCAAAATAGATCCCATGAGCATTACGTAGACTTTAACACACTGCCATCCTATGATCTCTAACCATTCTTTAATATCCTTCTAAATGACATTTCAACTTTCTCCAAGATCTTACTTTCCACAGATTTTTCCATTTAGCTTACAGGTGACCATAACTCAGCCATCGAGCAACAAACAATGTAGCCCCTAAGCAGACTGATTTTGCTATAAAGTATGGAGAGGAATTGTATGCAAAAGCCACAAAGTAAAAGCAACTAAACATGTCTCAGTGTCATCATCAGAACATCTTTTTCTAACACGAGCTCAGAGATCGTGAGCTTGATTTAATTAACATCGATTTCACTGGCTAACAGCAGAGCAAGTGCTTCATTTGCCTTGGCATAAAATGAAAAACTAAATTCCCCAAGCTCTCTTTCCATTAGCAGTGTAAATTCTAAGTCACCGAGTCAGTGACAGTTTTATTTACCATCACATTCACCTAGCTCCTCTAAAACTTTCAGAATTTCAAGCTATACCAAAGTAGCACCGGGATTTTGTTGGCAATTCATTCCATTCTACTCAGTTTCAATTTTTCCTACTTGAATGATCTTTTTTTTTTTTTTAGATAGTACACGTGGTGGTTTGAATGAGAATGTCCCCACAGGCTCCATGGATTGAATGCTTGGTCACCAGGGAGTGGCACTATTTGAAAGGATTTGGACTTATGCCTTGGAAAAAGTGTCACTGGAGGTGAGCGTTGAGATTTCAAGAGCCCAAGCCAGGCCCAGTGTCTCCCTTTATTTGCTGCCTGCGAATCCAGATGTACAACCCTCAGTTACTTCTCCAGCATCTTTTCTGTCTGTGCTGCCATGCTCTCCACCATGATAAGGGACCAAACCATTGAAACTGTAAACCAGCCTCCAATTAAATGCTTATTTTATGAGTTGCCTTGGTCATGGTGTCTCTTCACAGCAAAAGAACACTAAGACAGTTTGTTTGAAGGTCATTTGAAATGTCTATTTTTGGACTTGAATGTTAGTCCTTCAAGACATCATAGTTTATCACATTGACTTTTCTCAGTTTAGAAAATTCTGGTCAGTTCTGTGACCTTCCCTAGCCTACATATGAATGGGTAAGTGAACCAGCCCATTCTCTAGAAGCACAAGTAGGTGTCTTCAGTGAAGCTCTGCTAAGTTAGCTGAAGACTTCAAATTCTCGCTCAACAATGCATAGTTTCAACAATGCGAGGAGCTACCTTCTTCAATGGGATAGTCCCAACATGTCACAATTCACTCCTTTCTGGTGGCTGCCAAATTTAAGAATATGTTAAAAATATAAAAATTCCTAATTTTCAAAACACTAAATTTTGTTGATTCACAAATAATACAATTAAGCAAGGAGGAAAAAAAATAACAGAAAACTCAACTGTATTTCTTTAACGTCATCAGTTATTAGCTGAAGGAGCAATAGCCCAACTGTGATATCACACAAACGAATACTGATGTTATCCATTAGAATTGCAAAAGAATCTTTAACTTCATGTCTTGGGCCTATGTGCATGTGACATTGCAGTAGTCTATAACATCAAATGCATACTAGAATCAACTGGAAATGTTTAGGGAGCCCCAATACCTAGAGATGAAACTGGGTCCTCACTTAAGCTCCAGGGAATTTTTAAATGAGTCAGGAGAGGGCAGCCATGCAGCAGCCGATAGTCAGGCCTCTCCAAAGACAAGCTAACACTTTCTTTATCTAAACCTCATAATAGTAGTGTAAAAATCTTCATTTATTAATATCCACATTAATCTTTTCCAAGCTACAGGCTTTGTTTGGTCGTTACCACCCACTCATCACTAATCTAACGAGTTAGCAACAGATAGGGCTGTGTTCCTGTCCTATGGGAGCCTGGTCCATTCACACTCCCATGGAGACCCATGCCATTGCCTGTGAAATGGTGCTGATGGATTAGATATCCAGGATAGTTATTATAACCTCTTCCCTTTCCTCCCCTGCCCTCCTCCTCTTCTCTTTCCTGTCCTCTTCCTTCCTCCCCCCTCCTCTTTTGAGACAGGTCTCACTACGTAGCCTTGGCTGTTCTGGAACTTACTATGTATACCAAGCTGGCCTTCAACTCCCAGAGATGTACTTGCCTCTGCCTCCTGATGGTATAACCAGAATATTTAACAAATTAAAAACACTCAGTTTTTTCCATTTTTCTGATTACTCTCAATATCTGGAGACTGTCCTAAATTCAGTGGCAGTGTTTCCTTATTGAGAACGTACCCATAGTACCAAAAGCAAACTACTTCACAGGTTAGATGATATGGTACAGAAACACACATTCATGAGGAAATAGAGCTAGTGAATAATTGTAACCACAGTATGCATTTGAAAATTTAACGAGCTGCATGTTCTTCAAAAAATCTCCTCTCTGTATGGTTTCTCTTGTTACAAAGACTCAGTATTTACTTTCACAGGGTTACAAAAATTAAAGTAGATAATGCATCTAATCTAAAAGCAGGCAGGCAAATTAATTCTTTTTATCCTAGAATTCTAAAATTATAAAGTCTAGAGATAAAGTCGAAAAAGATGCAGAAGGTGTTGTGTTGCAGATCTGTAACACCAGTATATCAGAGGGCAGGAGAGGTAGGAGGTGGGGTGGGTGGAGAGCAAGAGTTCAAGGCTAGACATGAAAACCTGTCCAAAACTCCTACAAGAAATAAAAACAATGTATTTTATTTCTATTAACTACTTTTATGGTGTAAGGATAACAGACTAAGGTATGTATGTAGCATCAGAGGTTTTGGGGTGAAAATTTCTTAAAAGTATATAAAGCCAACTTATTCTGGAAATAAAAGTTTAATTGTTTTTTCTCAATCTCAATGAATAGCTATGTTCATCGCAGCATTATTTGTAATAGCCAGAACCTGGAAACAACGTAGATGCCCCTCAATTGAAGAATGGATAGAGAAAATGTAGTACATTTACACAATTTACTCAGGGGCTGGGGGGTGGGGGAGAGTAATAGAATCTTGAAATTCACAGGCAAACGGATGGAACTAGAAGAAACCATACTCAGTGAGGTAACCCAGTCACAAAAAGACAGGCATGGTATGCACTCACTCATATGTGGATTTTAGACATACAGTAAAGGATTGCCAGCCTGCAGACCATGCTGCCGGAGAGGTTGGTAAACAAGGAGGACCCTAAGAGAGAAATACATAGTCCCCTAGAGAAGAGGAAAGGGACAAGATCTCCTAAGCAAATTGGGAGCATGGGGGAGGGGAGAGGGAACTAGGAGAATGAGAAGGGGAGGAGGGGTGAGGAAGACATGATGGGGCAGGGAGGTTGAGTTAGGGGAAGAACGGAAGAGAACAAGATAAGAGATAATATAATAGAGGGAGACATTATAGGTTTAAAGAGAAATCAGGCACTAGGGAAATGTCTGGAGAGCTACAAAGAAGACACCAACTAACAATCTAAGCAACAGAAGAGAGGCTACCTTAAATGCCCTCCACTGATAATGAAATTGATGACTAATTCATATGCCATCCTATAGCCTTCATCCAGCAGCTGGTGGAAGTAGCAGCAGACACCCACAGCTAAACCTTGAACTGAACTGAAATCCAGTTGCAGAGGAGGACAGATGAGCAAAGGGGTCCAGACCAGGCTGGTGAAACTCACAGAAACAACTGACCTGAACAAGGGAGAGCTCTTGGTCCCCAGACTGATAGCTTGGAAATGAGCATGAGACTGATCCAGACCCCTTGAATGTGGGTGTCAGTGAGGAAACCTTGGAAATCTATGGGACCTCTTGTAGTGGATCAGTACTTATCTCTAGCATAGGAATGGACTTTGGGAACCCATGGAGGGATACTCCCTGAGCCAAGACACAAGGAGGTTGGCCTGGGCCCTATCCCAAAGAATAAAACAGACTTTGAAGGACCCCCCCAACCCCCCCGCGCCATGGAAGGCCTCACCCTCCCTTGGGAGCAGAAAGGGTATGGGATAGGTAGGGTATTAGTTGAGGGGGCAAGGGAGGAGGAGAGGGAGAGGGACCTGGGATTGACATGTAAAATAATTATCTTCCTAAAAAAAAAAAATCTTTGTGTTTTCCACCCTCTACCTGAGAGCCTTCATCCAGTAGTTGATTGAAGCAAAAACAGGTACCCACAGCTAAACACTGATCCATACTCCTGGAATCCAGTCGCAGAGAGGGAGGAGGGATGAGCAGAGGAACCAAGACAGTGCTGGAGAAACCGGCAGAAACAGTTGACTTGACCTAGTGAGAGCATGGAGACCCTAGTAGTAAAGCTGGGAAACCAGCATTGTTCCGAACCAAATCCTTGGGAATGCAGGTGTCAGCTAGTAGGCCAAGACAGTCTATGGGACCTTTAACAGTGGAGCCAGTGTTTGTCCCTAGAGCACAAATGGGCTTTGGGAGCCCATTCCCTATGGAGGGATACTATTTCAGCCCAGATTCAGCAAGGAGGGCCCAGGCCCTCCCCAGAATGACAGACTTTGATAGGAGGGGGTGAATTGGTGGGGAGCATCGGAGGATGGTAGGGCGAGGGAACAGGGGTGGAGGTGGGGTGGGGGGATGGATATGTAAATAAGAGTGCTTCTAAAATTTTTTTAAAAAAGTAAACCACTGAAAAGTGTTACTCTTGACTATAAATGGAAGAAGCTATATGGGTATTTTATACTGTTTTTCCAACTTTTCTGCATGTTGGAAACTCTCGTGATAAAAATGTTTAGGTAGCTGGAGAGATGGCTCAGTCTGTAAAATGCTGCTCAAGCAAGCATGAGGACCCAAGTTCAATCCTACAGAACCATATAAAATCAGAGGGCATGGCATGGGCCTGCAATCTTAGCACTGGGGAAGCAGG